CGCGGCGATGGCGGCGGCGGCGGGCGGCGGGGCCCGGCCCGCGGTGGTGCTGGGCGCCATGGAGATGGGCCGGAGAGCCAGCTCCGAGGCGAGCGCCGAGCTGCTCCGCGCCTTCCTGCGCCGCCGGCACCGCCTCATCGACACCGCCTTCATGTACGCGGGCGGCGAGTCCGAGCGCATCCTGGGCGCGCTGCTGGCCGGCGGCACCGAGCCCGGTAGGGCGGCGGAGGGCGGGCTGCCCTCGGGGCAGAGGGGCTGCCTCGGGACCCGGGTCTGAGGAGAGGGGCTGCCCTGAGCGGAAGGGTCTGCTTGGCCAGGCTGACACTGTCCTTGAGGAGAAGGGACTTGGCCAGGACTCGCTCTGTGAGGAGAAGGGATTTCCCTGAGGAGAGGGGACTTGCTGGGAACCGTGCCCTGAGGAGCGGGTCCTTCCTTGAGGAGAGGGTCTCATCTCTTCTGCCAGGCTGACACTGTCCTCGAGGAGGCTAGACTTGCCCAGGACTCGTTCCCCGAGGGTGTTCCCTGTTAGGCTAATGCCCTCCCTGAGGAGATAGCACTTCTCTGGGGAAGGAGGAGGGTCTTCCTTGCCAGTCTGAGGCCGTTCCCAGGGACAAGGGCGCTCTCCAGGGTCCATTCCCTGAGGAGAGGGATCTTCCCTGCCTGGCTGACTCCTCCTCGAGGAAAGCAGACTTGCCCCAGGCCCATCCCAGTTTTCCCTGCTGCTGCCATGCCTGAGGGAAAGGGACCCTTGTACTAGTGCTGACCCCCAGACCTTGAGGAGCAGACCTTCCCTGCCTGGGGCAGACCTGCAGTGCAGAGGAGAGCCTCCCTTGCCAGGCTGACGGGATTCCTGAGGAAAGGCACCTTCCCTGAAACACCTCAAACACTTGTGTCGCTTTCCCCACTCCCCTCCTCAAGGTGGAAACATCCTTGCTCATTCCTTCTCTCTCTGCCAGTGGAAGTGGCCACCAAGGCCAACCCGTGGGATGGGAAGACGCTGAAGCCGGAGAGCGTGCGCTCCCAGCTGGACACGTCCCTGGAGAGGCTGCAGAGGACGAGTGTGGAGCTCTTCTACCTCCACGCTCCTGACCACGGCACCCCGGTGGAGGAAACCCTGCGTGCCTGCAATGAGCTGCACAAAGAGGTGAAGTGCAGAGTCCAAGCCTGGACAATCCTTGATTGCCTCCTTCCCACTGCTTTTTTTAAACCAGGGCTGCTGTTGTGCCCGTTTGCAGTGCTGGGTTTGTGCAGCTCTGCAAAGAGGAGACAGAGCCCAGGCAGAGCTGAGCAACCACTGCTCTTTGTGTGCTAACGTGGTGCACTTTGTTCCCAAGAGCTCTTGGAACACCTGGACTTTGCTTCCAGCCCTGTTAACAGTCTGGGTTAAGATTAGTGCTGGTAATGGGTAAAGAAATCCTGAGTTTCATTTATCTGGTTATGTAATTTAAACTAGAAGGTGTGAATTCCAAATGAACAGAAAATGGGGAATATTTTTGTCATGTCTTAATAATTCATAGTCTGTCAGAAAAGGTGGACAGGAATTAACCCTTCTGGACTAAAATTTGGTGACTGTCCTTTTCACTGTGCCCAGCTTGTGCTGTCTGGGTCCAGATGAACTTTGAAGCACTGGAAGTGCATTCCCTTTTATTCCTCTGCAGGGGAAGTTTAAAGAGCTTGGCCTGTCAAACTACGCCGCGTGGGAGGTGGCAGAAATCTGTGCCATCTGCAAGTACAACAACTGGGTGATGCCAACTGTGTACCAGGTGAGGGAGGAGGGAAGCTTGGATTTGGGTTCCCCAAATCTAGCACCAGCTCTAGTATTACAGATACAAACACAGAAGGAATTTGCTGCAGTTAGTCTGGGAAGTCACAGGCTCACTGAGGTTGGAAAAGACCTCCAGTGCCAGCTGTACCCAGTGCCCACCTTGTCACTACCCCAGAGCACTGAGTGCCATGTCCAGGCCTTCTTTTGACATCTCAGGGATCGGGACTCCAACACTTCCCTGGGCAGCCCCTTCCAAGGCCTGACCATCCTTTCAGTGAGGAAATTCAGGAAGCTGAGCGAGGTTGCTGCTCAGAAACAGCTCAGTGTGTTCATTGCTGGAGCCAGACACTCCCCTGCCATGGAACTTCAATTATTTGCAGTCCTTCAGCGGGTCTGCTCCTAAGCAAATCATCACCCTGTGTGACCTGGAGCTGCTCTCGGGGGTGGGTATTGCCAGGGAAGGGTGGGAAGATCAGCTGCTGTGCCCTGAGCTGTGTTTGAGGCTGTCTCCCACCCCACACAGGGAATGTACAACGCGACCACGCGCCAGGTGGAGGCCGAGCTCTTCCCCTGCCTCAGGCACTTTGGGCTGCGCTTCTACGCCTACAACCCGCTGGCAGGTACAGGGACAAGGCTTTGGGACAAAACTCTGGGGAATGGGGGCTCTGCAGAGCCGGCCCATCCCAAACCTGCTGCTCCCTTCCCTCCCAGGGGGGCTGCTGACCGGCAAGTACAAGTACGAGGACAAAGACACACGCCAGCCCACGGGGAGATTTTTTGGGAATGACTGGGCTCAGGCCTACAGGGACAGGTATGTCCTGAGGTGACAGACAAGCAGGAATGGCTGCGTGAAAAAGCACTCTAATAGTCAAGTTAGAGGAAGCAGAATTGACCAAAGCTTGGGATTATGTCAGCACACGTGGTTGGGGCTGTGGTGTGTGACTGAGCTCTGCAGGGTGGTTTTTAGGCTCAGCTTCCTCACAGCTCCCAAGGGAGACTGCAGAAGTCCTCCAAGGCTACAGAGTTGTATGAGCCTTCCTGAAAGCCTTTTGATTGGAACATAGATGTACCACTGACTAGAGGTCCCAAGGGCAAAACCAATTTTTTTTTTTTTTGGCAGGTACTGGAAAAAACACAATTTTGAGGGAATTGCACTGGTAGAAAAAGCCCTGAAAGAGGCTTATGGCTCCACTGCACCCAGCCTGGCATCTGCTGCACTGCGCTGGCTCTACAACCACTCCAAACTGCAGGTGAGAGCTTGGCCTGGGCACTGCTGCCAGCACTGGGCACTGCTGCCATGCCCACAAACAGGGAAATTTCAGTGTAGGTGTCTTTTAATCCTGTGGGATTGTGGCATTCCAAAGTGAATGTAGTGTACAGACTGCCAGGCAGCGGGAGTGAGGCAGCTCTGCCTTTTCCCATGTGGTCAGAACTGGAAGCTTCAAGTGGAAGATTTTAGGTGCCAGTTATTGGGGTCTTGGCTTCCCATGCACTCAGCTTCCCTGCAAGGAGAGGACTTGCCTTTCACTGGACTAGGAAACTAATGCTTAAATTCCCTAAATGTTCCTGTAGCCCATCATAAAGTAGGATTTGGCAGCTTCTGAGGATTTGGGGTGACTTGGGAACATCCTGGCCTAGTGAGCAGAATTTGTGGTGTCAGTTGCTTAATTCTGGATGTTCTTTAGCGGAAAGAAATGCTTTGTTTGGCCTGCAGTGGCTCAGGAGGTGAACTTTCTTTTGGGATCAGCAACACCCACCTCCCATCTCTTCCCAGGGTTCCCTGGGAGATGCAGTGATCATTGGCATGTCCAACCTGGAGCAGCTGGAGCAGAACCTCAACTACAGCGAGGAGGGTCCCCTGCTGCCGGCCGTGGTGCAGGCGTTCGACGAGGCCTGGAACCTGAGTGCACACGACTGCCCCAACTACTTCCGCTAGGGAAGGAGGGCTGGGACACCCTGCACAGGCTCTGGAGACCCGGGAGAGGTACTGCCCACCCCGCCCTCCCATCCACGGCTGGAGGCCTGCAGGTTTTCCCTGAGTCAGTGAAGCTTTGTAGGATCCACGCCCGTGCCTTAGTGCTCCCTGCAAGCCCCTCAGCTCCCCCAGCACAGCCTGATTCAGGATGCAGCTGATCAGGAAAATGAACACCTTTACGAGGTGAAGGCCCCTGTTCTGCTTTAATGTGAAATCTTAAATAATTACATACAAGAATAAAACCTCTTTCTAATGCAGAGCATGTCTGACCTGTGCCTGGAACCTGTCATGTCTTTGGCAGCACTTGGGGGCATTGAATCACAGAACATCAGGATGGTTTGGGTTGGACAGTCCTTGAATCTCATTGTGTTCCACACCCTGCCACGAGCAGGGACCTTCCACTGTGCCAGGGTGCTCCAAGCCCCATCCAGCCTGGCCTTGGACACTGACAGGGATAAGGCAAAATTCCAAGGGTTGAACTAAGGATCTTCTTCCGTGTCAGAATAACAAACCCTCAGCATCTTTCCCTTTGTGCTATATCAAAATTCCATTACATTGACACCCTTCCTGCCCAGTTTCCATGTTTGAGCTGGCATCTCCTCAGATCCCAGGATCCACCATCGCTAACAGACAGCAGCAACAACCGTCTGGTTTCACATAGATATTTATATAAATATAAAAAAAGCATAGTTAGGTCATTTTCTATAAAGATCATCCCAGCGCAGGTGCACCCAAGGAAGGGAAATATCCTTCTCTTTTTGTCCCTAAAATAGAACTGTCTGGTGTCCAAGCTGTTAGTCCTCATTGCTGCCATCATCATCATCATCCTCCTCTTCCTCCTCCTCCTCTGCTGTGTCTCCCACGAGCTTCTGGAAGTCTCCTGTCTCAGAATTCCACAGAAACTTCATGGTGACTTTAAATTCTGCCATCTCGTAGCCAAAGAGTTTCTAGGAGAGGACACAAATCTGTCATTCCTGCTTTACTCTGTGCCCAGCCTAGCAAAACAGTAAATTCTGCTTCCAGGTGGGAAGTGGAGCAAAGCAGGAACCAAAATAACTGCTGCTGGGTTTCAGGAGCTGTGTTAATTAATCATTAGTTATTTTGTGTCAGGAAGCAGGGCTGCTGTGTCACTCACCAGCACACGGGCCTGTTCTGGGGTGAGAACATCCCCTTCCTTGCACACTTCATAATCCGAAAGCAGCGTCACCACTCCTGCAGAGCAAAACCCTGGCAATAGGATCCAGCACTGGGAGCTCCCCTGAACGTGGGGGCAGAGCCAGGACTCCCTCCCACACCACCCCCTGCAGCTGGCACCTTCCCAGGCAGCACGAGGGCAGCCCAAGGAGAGGGGTGATTCCAGCTCCAAAGCCCCACGCGTGGTGCCCGAGGGGGTCACTCCGAGCTGTTTCCACTGGAGAAGGATGGCATTCTGCAGCAATCTGGGGGCTTCACTCAGCCTCTGACACCAGCTTGGGAACCACAGCGCAGGGACAGGAGTTCCAGCCCCAGCCCAACAAGGACAAAGGTGCCCCTCAGGTTTTGTCCAGACCCACATCCTGCTGCGTTTAGCCTGGTGCAGCAGAGCTGCCAGCTGCAGGCAGGCCCAGAGCTGCCCTGTGTACCTTTCTTGAGCGCCGTGGGCAGCCCCAGCTGGCGCAGCTGCGGCTCCATGGAGTGGGGGAACTGCTCCAGGGGCCCCGTGTCCAGGCTGACCCCGTAGGGCGCCTTGTTCCCAGCACGGGCAAAGTCCAGCTCCCGGAACCTGGAGAACCACCTGGGACACAGGGGATACAGGGGCTTCAGCTGGGGGAGCAGCACCCCTGGGCTCAGACAGGGACTGGGGCACGGCCTCCCTGGTGCTGCTGAGGGAGGCTGTGGCTGCCCCTGGATCCCTGGAAGTGCCCAGGGGGGTGGAATGAGATGAGCCTTAAGGTCCCTCCCACCCAAACCCTTCCATGATTGCTGCTGCCACAGGAGGGGCCGACAAAGACAGTGGGAAAGGCCCATGAGACCATCTCTGCTCTAAGGGAAGCAGCAGGGAGTGTGGGGTCTGTGGCACCAAAAGGCTGTGCCAGGCTGGTACTCACTCATCCACCTCGTCCCTGGTGCGGTTGGTGAAGAGGAGCCCGACCTCCCCTCTCAGGTGTTTGCTGACCTGGAAGAAAGGAGCATCCATGGGACTGGGGAGCAGCAGGGACTCACCTGCAGGGGCTGTCCTGCACTGCTGCACTGCACAGAGCCCTGCTGGCAGGCCGTGGGGGGGTCAGTTAACAGCCCCCCACAATGAGACCCCGGGATGTTTCTCCAGGACTGGAATGCAGCAGTGAAGCTTTAGGGCCCCCAGAGGAAGCTCAGCAGGTACCTTGTGCAGGTTCTCCTTGTACTCGCTGCTCGGCTCCCGGCCCAGCGCCACCATCATCACCTTGTTCTTCCCGAAGAAGATCCTGGAGCAGCACGAGGAGGAGGAGGAAGATGTCAGCCTGGAGCTCACCCTTGGGCATCCCCACCCCGCAGCACCCCCTGCCCACCTGCTGTGCTTCCAGGCGTTCCGCACGTCCTTCAGCTTGTTGTTCCTCATGTTGGCCACCGAGAAGACGAAGATGTACTTGTAGGTGTCCACGCAGCGCCGCAGCTGCGGGGGAGCCGTTAGCGGGACGGGCACGGGGCGGGGCAGGGCAGGGCCAGGGGAGGGGAGGGGGTCCGGCCACACTCACCTCGGCGATCAGCGCCTGCTTGGCCTCCAGCCCCTTGCGGGGCGTCCGCGTCAGGGACACTGCGGGGAGCGGAGAGCGTCAGGACGGGCGGGATGGGGATGGAGAAGGGAACGGGAGACGGGCAAGCAGACAGGGATCGGGTAAAGGACGAGGGAAGGGGACAGGGAAGGGGGCGATGGATGGGGCCGAGAAATGAGAGAAGGACGGAGAAGGGACTGGCATAGGGAAGGGGACCGTGAGGGGCGCGGGGAGAGCGAAGGGGGGATGGGATCGAGGAATGAGAAAGCGACGGAGCAGGGGAAGGGGCAGGGCTGGGTGGAGGGGGATGCGGCCGGTGCCCGTGCCCGGTGCCCGTGCCCGGTGCAGGCCCCGCTCCCACCTTTGCGGTCCCGCTTGGACTTGGGCATGGCTGCGCCGTGGCAGGGCTGGGTGGAGGGGGATGCGGCTGGTGCCGGTGCCCGGTGCCCGGTGCCCGGTGCCGGTGCCCGTGCCCGGTGCAGGCCCCGCTCCCACCTTTGCGGTCCCGCTTGGACTTGGGCATGGCTGCGCCGTGCTCCGAGGCCCCCGGGCCGCGCGCGGGCTGCCGGGAGCGGGCGGGGCTGTCCCGCGCGCTGCCTGCGCGCTCCCCGCGGAGCGGACGCCCTTTCCCCGCGCAGGCGGCGGCGCGGGCGGCCCCGC